TTCTCTGTGACTACCTTACCCGGGTTGGCCAGAGACTCCACATGGCGTTTTTATCTACCACAGATTCCTTTAGTACCGTGAGGTCTGCCTATCAACAGTGCTGCTTGAACTGTAGCCTGGAGCTGCTTCACAGCCCTTTAATGTTCTGGGACCCACTCAGAACTAGTACATAATAGTAGATGCTCAATAAACATTCCCCTCTATGGGAGAATAGAGCACAGAGCAGGAGCTGGAAATGCCAATGCCTTTAGGGTAAGGTTGCCAGATAAAATAAATATAGGCCATTCAGTTGCGTTTGAATTTCATCTAAATGGTGTATTATTTTTTAGTGTAAGTATGTTCCAAATATTACATGGAGCATATTTACGTTAAAAAATTATTCACCGTTTATCTGAAATTCAAATTTAACTGGCCATCCAATTTTTTATTGGTAAATCTGGCAACTTTAGTTTAGGGACCAAACAGTTAATAGTGTAAGAAAACTTGGTGTGATAGGAGTTGGAGAAAGGTAAATGCATTTACAATTAGTGCTCATTTGGAGAATAATCAACATTCAAAGTAAAAATTAGAAATAATGTACCAGTTTTGGCTGGAGGCTAATGAGTTTGCAATCCCTGGCAGAGAGCTTGGGCTGTGGAGTCTGAACACCCAGTTTTGAGTCCTAAATCCACTGCTCACAAGCTATACGACCTTGGGCTTAGAGACTTCATCTCTGTGAGGATTAAATTAGAACCTACATTTAAAAAGCTTAATGAGGTGCAGGGCCCACACCAGTTGCCGTAGAGTCGATTCTGACTGATGGTGACCCCATGTATGTCAGAGTAGAACGGTGCTTCATAAGGTATTCAAACGTTAACCGTTTGCACCACCCAGCGTTGCTGGGCCTGCAGTTACTGCTAAATAAATGTTAGTTTTTTATCACCCTAATCACAGCTGGACGAGCCCTGATGGAGCAGTGGTGAAAGTGCTTGGCTGCTAACCGAAAGGGCAGCGGTTTGAACCTACCAGCCACCGTACTGGAAGAAAGGTATCCACCCATTGCCATCGAGTTGATTCCGACTCATCGCAATCCTACAGGACAGAGTAGAACTGTCCCAGGGTTTCCAAGGAGCGGCTGGTGGATTCGAACAGCCAACGTTTTGGTTAGCAGCTGAGCTCTTAACCTCTGTGCTACCAGGGCTCTCTCTATATT